CCCCACACCGGGTTGGGGGAGCCCGCTGGGCCCGCTCTGAGCACGGACCCCCTCCACACCCCCTCCGCACCTGCGGGCGGACGGGAGAAGGGCCTGAAGCGGGGGGCGTCCGGGGCCCCGTGCACCGCGGGGGCACTCGCCTAACCGGATCCTCCCCCGGGCTGGAAGCCCAAGGGCAAAAAGCATCTCTGTTATCTTCTAAAACAGCGCCACTCTAGCATTTTAGACCTGCCTGGCGCTTTCGGGATGACTGAGAGGCTTGTTTTGTTGTTTCACTCGCGCCAGCAGTGGGACGTTGGTTGAATAGAGAGGTCCTAACTAAAGTACCTGAACGGGAGCTAGGCAGGGCGCGGTGTCGCTAGCTCCCCGTGGTGGGTAAGGACATAAAGCAGATGGGTGTGTATGCATTTCGTGTGTTTCCCCAGACGCTAAATAATTGTCTTCTGAGCAAACATAATAAAATATTTGAACAGACAAACTATCCAGGAAACATGAATTGCTGTCCAATATTTGGATAGTGTGCAGAGCATAACTAGATCTTATAAAAAAACAATTTGGGGTTTTACACTTCTAAGAAACAAGCATTTTTGATTAACTATTGTATGTGCCTGTCATGGAATACTTTTTCCTCGTGCTTCTTTTTGTGTGTGTGCAGGTGCTAGGTTTTTATTCTAAATGCGGTTCATCTTAACAGAGCAGTTTTCTAATAGCCTCTAAATGGAATCATTAATGTATTGTGCTTTTCAGCCATTCAGCTTTGGGTGATTTCTGCATTAATTACCATTTTTATCCCACAGCTATGTTATTCTGGTTTGTCCACATTCACTGACCACGTAGAATTAGATATAGGACATCTTGGAAGCGTTGTTTGCTGAGTCCTTAAAGATTCAGGAAACTGGGTTAGTGTGAAGGGAGGAATAGTGGATGCTCGTAAATGGATTAGATCTTTTGCTTCCCGGGAAGATCTTTAATTTCATTTTTAAAAGACCTTTTCAGTCTAGGTCATTCCTTTGAATCTAGTCTAGATGACTAGATGTATATGCTTTATATGGCAAAAATGTGTTCACAGCCTGGATGAAACATGTTTTGCAGGTTTCAGTACACTACTTGTGTGGTCAGGCCGTTGCTTTTCAAATAACCGATTGTAGTCACAGGAATTCAGCAGTCTGGGCGTCAGGTACCACTGCCCTTGTACCCTCACCGTTAGAGACCAAGAGCGGCGTCGTGTCTGTAGGGAAGGGGTGAGGGACTGTTTTGAGGGCTTCATTCGCCAGTGTCATAAAATCTAGAACGTTTCCCTGCTAACAAGTGTTTAAAACTTGCCTGCTACCGATTGTCTGTACCTGTTACTTGTTTTAGGCTTTATTATTCTGGCTTAAGATCAGTGTGTCCTGTTTTTGATTTTGCCTTTAAAAACGCCTAATTTTCTCCTGCAAACTATATTGTAATCTCTTTCCTTACAAAGATAAAAGAAAGGAAATTTCCTTTCAACACCTTCCCAGTGTAGACAAAAAAAAAAAAAAGCGCGTTTCTATGTCAGATAAGTAAATTTCTATAAATCAGCCTCACCCTTATTTTTTTCTTAGGGACTTGCATCTCTGCTCATACTTACTCATCTGAATTATCCCAGTTGAGTATACCGAATTATCCCAGTTGAGCATACTAATATCATGATGACAAAAAAACCACAAAAAATAAAACAAAAAACCCTGAAAACTAAACAGCTGTTTCTTCATTTGCTGCTTTTATCTGTTTTTAAAGCATTGCCCCTACAATTTCTATGTTAGCTTTGTTTAAGAGTGAGTAAAGTTGATTGAGTTGTTAGCAGGGTTAATAACTGGTTGTGACTTTCTCAAGCAGAAATACATTCAGAAAGTCTTGAATTAATCCAAGACTTCCATTTAGAGAGCAACCTATAGCTGCAATCAAGCACTAGGAAGTTAATACGTAACATATACATTTGAGCACAAACTGTAGTACTCGGAATTTATAAATGTAGGGCTGCCCACAAATTACAGCCTGCAAGTTGATGGCTTACAGGAGGTTATTGCACATATTAAGTAACTGTGACTCAAGCAGGAGTCTCAAAGGATCTCAAATGCTGACATATCCTACATATTCAGTATGACAGGTTTTCTGGTCCTTCCTCCTCCCTTACTGGCAATGTTTACTTGGATGACCTTTTTTTTTTTTTTTTTTTTTAAGCATCCTTGTAGGATTGTTTTGCTTATGGAAAAAGAATAGTATTAGGCCTCAGCTGAATGTATTCCTAGCAGCTGGAAGGAGGCAAGCTGGCACTGTGTGACTGAGCAGCTGCTCCTGACATAGGACACGTTCTCCAGGCGCTTCCGGTGCTGCACGATCCCTGCTTTGGGGACTCAGCTGTGCGTGAGGAGGGCAGCGGGTAGTCGGGTCCCGGGTTTGATATCGCTGACTGAGGAAGCTGTGGATTGCCCTCGCTGTTGCCATGAACGTTGTTGCCTGGTGCAGCATTTGTCGCCCAACTGTGCAGTGGGGTAGGAGATGCACCGTGCCACAGTGGCACTTCTCAGTAGTCCTGGCTAATGATCCTGGCTGATGATCAAGTTCCTGACTTGTGTTACATCCATCTCCCACCTTGTAAGCTGAGTAGAGCTGCCTGCTGTGCAGATACTTGTTTGCAAAGCCTTTGAGGTTTTTTTAAACATTTATCTGTCCAAAAAATGTTGCATGTTCAGCGCTGTACAGTTGCATATCTATGAACTAGTTTTCAGTAGCCTTTGAATGACTGTTCATTTCCCCCAGGTATAAAACAGTGCATGTTCACCTTCCTTGGCTGTTCTGCCACTTGTCTAGGATCCCATCTTGATGAGTCTCACCTAGAAAACAATGTGTGCATAACTTGTTGTTACAGACTCCTCCTGGCTCCCAGTGGGGCAAAATTCTTAATAATAATAGGTTTAGCATGTGGCCCAGTACCTTTTTGGTATCCTTGGGATAGCATTGTTCAGAGGAAGCATTGCCTGTGTTTGAATAGCACTCAGGGTGCCAGGAGGAAGGCTGGAGGAAAAGGAAACGGGGGAGCTGCTGGTTTGTCTTGCATTCACATCAGATGACAGGAAGTGGAAATTGAGATTGGCTGCAGTGATCTGTGGAGTCACATCTGTGCGAATAACTCCCAAGCTCTGGATAACCCAAATCGTTGCCATAGTAAAGCTTTTTACACATGTTCGCACCTTTTTTTTTTTTTTTTTAAGAAGCTTCAGGTTTTCCATGATAGATTTCCCTTCAATTCTGAAGCCCTCTTTGCTTGGAGAACTACTTGCTGAATTACTGTTAATGCCGCCACTGTGTTAACGATAACAAACCCTAATTGGAGCTTGATATGTATACGAGACTTCAGTTCTAAGCTATTCCACGTAGAGTAGGTGGCTTGCAGTTGTAGAAACTGTGTGCGTGGTTTAAAAAATATTTGCATCATCTAGAATCTAAAGATTCTAAATAGTCTAGACTCTGCATGGATTGCTTCTAGATTTTTTAAATGAAATTTATTTTAAAGGAATGACTATCACTTTTCTGCCAAGAAAGTAAAATAAATGTTATTATTTGAATGCAGAGGTTCTCAGAAGAAAAACAAAGTGTTCCTTTTGGCAGGGTAGCTGCAGATTTTTTTGTTGTTGTTATTGCTAAACAAAATATAATGAGAATCATCATTGCCCTTCCATTGACTCTAACTGCCACAAGGGAAGAACAACATTCTAGTGTTAAGGGCTTTATTTTCCTACTGCTGAAATTGCAAGTTGCTTTTGATAGCAGTATCTTTTTAGAAACAAATCTGAGGTGCACTTAACGTATTTTGGAGGCTCTGAAAGTTCAACATGTAGGACTTTGTATGTATAATATATACATCGCACAGGTCCGAAGCTGGTGTTTTTACATGCACGTCTGTGTCTGTGTCTTGTAGGTAGTTTGAGGAGCAGTGGTGGAAGTTGGCTTACAGCGTGACTGGCTTCCTTTCCTCCTCTCTTGTATTCCTGTCTCTTGCCTTGTGAACAGGGATTGAGGGTTCGTAGGACTCTTGGAATATGGTAACACTTTGGTCCTTTATCTCTGTCCTGAAGGATATAGGAAGCCTTCCATAATCAATTACAGTGTGTTTATTCCCCTGGGCAATAACTTGGCCATTCTGCTTTGCTAGTCTGAACGCCTGCTGCACCTTCACCTCTTTAAAAGTGCATATCCTGAATGTCCACCATGACCCATCCTGTGAGATGACTCACATTCCTGGAACTTTCTTGCCTGCCTCCTGAAGCTTAACAAAGAGCTGTAGCCCGTTTCAAATATCCTACCAGGCTTTATTAGGGAAAAATGTTGACTGCCCTTCCCATCTGGACCATCACTAAAGTTCCTTGATGCTTTGCATGTCTTGGGACACTACCAATCCTTCATTTTTGGACAGACACTCCCCCCCCCCCCCCCCCCCCCCAATCTTTTCTTTTGGGGACGCCCCCCCCCCCCCCCCCCCTCAGTGTGTGGTGGTCTGTGTGCACTTCCAGTAATCCTGCGGAGCTTTCAAAGCTCTGAGTGCTCATCTCATTCTGCAAGCTGGAAATCGAGCTGAGAGGATAAGTGGCTTGCTAAAGCTGCACAGCTAATCAGGAGAAGAAGTCAAGAGTCCGAAGATGCCTTTTTAAACCCTTAGACAATACTTCAACTCTAGGGATGGGGTCAACCAGTGAAATATTGACGGGTGTTGACAGAACTTTCCTTCTAGGTCAACTAGTGTTGTTAAACGTTTTGATCCAGGGTACCAGAAAAACTGTACAAAACTTCCAGAATTAGATGTGGCCTGCACAACAAATGTGCTCCTTATTTTATGTTGCTCAGTGCACTATATACTAAGACAAATTCACTTTGGCTTTCCCCAATTTCATTAGAATTGATACACTCCTCACTGGATGGCGGGAAGATAACTGGCTAAATAAACGTCTGACTTTTGTGGGCATGTCACTGAAGTGCTGCCTGAGCCAGAAGCACTGTTAGATTTTTGCCAGGAGGGTGCGGAGGCCTGTCTGATGCCTTTTCTGCCTGACCTACTGTCACTTCCTGGTTGCAATTTGTTCTGCTTTTTTTGCATCTTTCTGCTTCCCCAGCTTTGCCAAGCCAGTGGGAGAGCGTCTGCATTTGTGTGTGACATCTGGCCACGTCCTTGTCAGCATGCTGACGCTGCTCAGCACAGAAGGCATGGGACTAGCCGTGCTTGTACGGGGAGAGGGAAGGCAGCAGCAACAGCAAGGATCGTGAGGGAAGTAGGGTCCTGCAGGCTATGGGCTATGGCTTCTTGTGCAGGGAGAGGAGACAGAGCTTCCAGCAGCCGCATCAGGGCTAGAGAAGGGGAACGTTGAAGGTTGGAAGTAGGTGCAATTGAGAAAGGCAAGAGGCAAAGTCCTCCCAAGCCCCTGGGGAGGCATTGCATAATTATCCAAAAGCCAGCTATTAATAGATCTTCTCTTCTGTGCCCTTCAGCTGGCACTACTGGGAGGAAAGCTCTGTGCCTTGAGGTTTTAGAGCAGTCACTGATTCGGGGCAGCTCAGAGCTGTGGATGCTGAAGGGCTGCTCTAGAGAGCACGCAGCTCTGCAGGTGTCTGAAAACGTATGTATGACAGAAAACTTCTTATGTGACTGAATGTGAAATGTGGTGGGTGTTCTCCTCTCAACCTACTTGCTTCCGAAGTAGTGAAAGGTGCCCTAAATGCCTTCTCTCCTCTTCAGATACCACCTTCTCAAACTCCTTCAGAAGTTTGGCAAAGTAAAGCAATTTGACTTTCTCTTTCACAAGTCTGGTGCTCTGGAGGGGCAGCCGAGGGGTTACTGTTTTGTGAACTTTGAAACCAAACAGGTATGTTGCTTTTAATCTAAAATTCTGATTTATATGTCTGGCTGCTTCTTTCCCTGACTTATTTATGTCAATTTAAAGATAAAACAGGAAGGGATGACTGAAATATTTTGTCTATACAAACAGCCCTACTCTGTCAGCTCCACTCTGAGACAGCATCTGGAAGTAGCAATAGTGATTTCCTCTATCCTGTGCTGTCTTTTCCTGAATCCTGTTTTCTGATGCTATTAAAAAAGGCCAGTTCTTAGCCCCGTTTTGTTAGGGAGCTGATTGGCTCCATGAGCACACAAACACCAACCGATGGGATGCTACCGGATGCACAGCATGATAAATCTGCAGGATCCTGAAGCAAACTGACCCTGGCTGCCCGTTTTGGGGACGTTAACTCTTGCTACAAATCAGAGCTTGAAGTCGTGCTGATCTGTAGCATCAGAGTTGGACTTCTTTTGTCGTAATTCTGCTAAGTTGTTTGCGAGTTATGAAGAACAGTGTATTTGGAGACCCCCCTTGGTTGCGTGCCTTCACCTTCTGCTGGGGAATTGAAGACGGGGTTGTAGGCAGAGCCCTGGCACAGTGCAGTGTCATTCCCTTGCTGCTCTAGAAGCTGTACTGGAACTATTACTCGTACCAAGCTGGAAGAGTAGTGCAACGTAACTGCTGTGAATAGGGGAGCGTGCCAAAACTGAGATTCCACTGCTGAGTCTAGATCAGGACTAAGTAGATAATGTCCCCAGTGTGTGTTAGCAGGATCTGGAGTAACTACAGCTGGGTGTTAATGAGACATGTAATCATGGTAATGAATCGCAGCATTTTCTAGAGAGACTCCTGCAGCAGAAATCTCCTCTGGAACGCTGTTCCAGTGCTCTCTGCGTTTGGTCCTTTCAGAACTCCTTCCCCGTTTCCTCCTCGCAACAAGTGAAAGAGTCTACATGGTTAGTTTATAAAAAGTCCAGTTACTCAGGTGGACGTTGGAGTCTTCCAGAGAGATTCCTGAATTGGAATAGAATGTGGTAAACTGTCAGTGCTGTCAGTTAACTGTACTTTCACGAGACTGACTTACAAAGAAAAAAGGGTCTTTCACTTTCGAACAGATTTGACTGAAGACTTAGTTTTTGTTTATTGAACTGTCTTCCTGTGCAGGAAGCTGAAAAGGCGATCCAATGTCTCAATGGGAAGCTGGCCCTTTCCAAGAAATTGGTGGTGCGGTGGGCGCATGCACAAGTCAAGGTAAACTTGTTGTATTCTTTAAAGTGTGAAATTAAAAATATGTTAATATCAAGGAACAATTCTTATCAATGCTGTCTTAGTCTGGCAAGATAATTTTCAGTCTGTTCTAGGGAACAAGTCTCATGGAAATAGTATTAACAATCTGTGATTCTGATATTGCCCCCTTTGTGGATAGGAGATGCATTGAAGTTCCCAGTTACTGAGTACTTTGTTTCACTTCTGAAAGCACTTACGTTGTAGCAGCTCTAATTACTTGTGACTTTCAAATACTCTGTGTGTGTGTGTGTGTGTGTGTGTGTGTGTGACTTTCAAAATAGATATTTCATGTCTAAAATAAATGTTTTTATTATTTGCTTTATTGCATAAACCATCAAGTTTTTTATGTTAATTTAAGCAGTACCATCTCATGTTTTAATTTCTTTGAATTCTTATCTTATTTCTCCTACAGATATTTACTATCTGGTGCTTGGTAAAGAAACTTATTTTCAAAAATTTTCTTTGCAGAGAACTGGATTGCAGGAGGAGCTGCTTACTACTATTTGCCTTTGGGTAGTTTGTTTTTAACTTGTATTGATCATCCTACATGCAGCTTTCTACCCTTTCTCTTGCCTAGTGTACTGCTGTATTTGTTTTGAATGCTAAAGAAACGGGTACCTTTGTTAAAGCAGACCATGCTGTTTTAATTATTGGCTTCAAGGGCTCCAGGCTCTTGTCAGCACATCCAAACTTGTGTAAATCCAGTCTCCATTTTCTTGAGTTCTGTAACTATTAGAGTGCCACGTGCTTCCGGATGCCTGAAGAATGATCAGGCCATAAAAGGAGCTTCAGCCAGAGGAGCGAGCGTCTGCTCAGCTGGGAGTTCGGCAGGGTAGCCCGCTGCTTAGCAGTCCAGAGTATGGCAAAGAACGTGCAAAAACAAGCAGTTCAGTTTGCATGGCATTTTCTAATGTGTGAATGGAAAGATTTAACCATGCAAAACTGGCTTATTGTAGCAAGTGTTTATTTTAGACAATACCAGTGCCGTGCTTAAGTAGTTTTAAGATGAGCAGCCAAGGCTTACCAGACGCTGTCAATTTGAGCAGCTCTGCTGAAAAACAAACCTGTTCTTGTGCCAAGCGAAACAAGGAAGCAGAACATTGCAAATAGTTCAGGAGGCCCGTTGCCCGCAGAGAAGACAGACTCACAAGCTGCTTTCTACAGAAAGGGGATGGTTCCTAACTGCTCTTGAATGCTTTTTTTTTTTTTTTTTCCAGCACTGCACAATTCTGTTCAGTTGTGTAGTTGGGTTACCTTCTGACTCTGCACAATGTCTGTGTGAAGGGTATAGCAATGCAGTAGAGTAATTGCCTTAAATTTTAACATCTTTGCTTTATGCCTTATAGAGAGGGGAATAGGAAGCCATAACACAGGGTAAGGCTTAAGGATCTGTAGTACGATGTGTGTAAGTATGCAGGATCAGAGTCTACGTTCCATGTTGACGCTGAACAAACATCACGGTTAGGATTTATTTTAGTGCATGGCTACCAAAATCTTTCGTAGCAAAAACTTCACAAAATCTGAGGCGACGTTAATCCAAGTTTAAAGCGCGTCTGCGGGCAAATGTTTATTTGATTGTAATTCTGCTTTGCTTTAATACTTGGTCTCTTATTTGCAGAGATATGATCATAATAAAAACGAGAAGATTCTTCCAATCAGTCTGGAGCCATCTTCCAGCACGGACCCACCCCAATCTAACCTAAGGTAGGAGACTGGGCAGGTGAAGCGTGACCAAATGGTGGGAGTGGCAGGGGACAAACTTCTTGTATTTCTGTAAGATCTAGAGCTGGCGTTATCTGTGTGCTAAAAATCTAAAACCACCTTTACTGCCACTTTAAAAGGGCAGCATGCTGCTAAGTAACTTGTTTAATGTGGGACGCTCTTGAGAATTCATACATGTTTTCTGATATGAGAAACTATGGAGGCGTTATGGAGGAAAAGAGGTAAGATGAGGAACTGGGAACGTGTAACGCTGCAGCTCATTCGGCCGGAATGCGGCTGCATGCTGCTTCATAGGAATTTCACTAAGGGGTTCTGCCTCTGTTGGTTCCCAGCAGTTGTGGCAGAAGCATTGCGACAGACCGACTAGGGAGGCAGTAATCTCAGCACGTGTCTAAAAACACATCCCTGCCTCCCATGAGATCTAGAGCTTTAAAATATCCTGAGTTAGGAAAATGTGTCTTCTCCTCATCTATCTGAAAGCACTGAGTCAGAAAATTACTAGCCAGTTCTTAACAGGAATGCTGGATTATAAAAGAGATTGAGATTCACACTTTGTTATGGGAAGGGTAGATAATTCTCTTGAACATCCCAGATTAAGCAGAAATCTGTAATGTGGTATTTCACTGTACTAATTTGATTAAGCAAAATGCTTGAGTGAGGATTTCTTTCATAACGGTAAAACTTTAAGACAAATTCACAGTAATACTTCATATTAAACTAAAAGCGTCTTGCCAGCGTTAAGGCCAGAAGATCTTGTTCTGTGTGGGATTTGGCTGAATTTCCCAACCCCTTTGTTTACCTAAACCACATATCCCTGGTTGGTTGAAAGGGTATGTGAATTTTCTCTGCGTTCTGTCAGTGGAATGCTATAAGGAAGCAGGACCGGGGATAATTAATTTGCCTGTGGATAAAATGAGCTTGAAATTCAGAAGCGGTACTGACAGTATAAAGTAACGAACGGAGAGACTTGAGTCCTATATGTTGTTAGCTCTGTCACTGGCACAAAGGAGTTGTTTCAGTGAGGATGGATGTTATGAGAATCTGTACTGGAGAAGGGAATGTTCCTCGGTCCATGCCCATTAGAGGATTGTTAATAACAAAAGTCCAAGGAATTTGGGGTGTAACCTAGGATAGCTTCTCCCTTTGGGATAAACTCTGGTAATGTTGAAATAATGTTTCTTCCTGACCTAATTAGAGTCTGGGGTTTTCCCATCCCAAGCGATCTTGCAGCTTGGAGGAAGTCTGGCTTTCATTTCTCTGCTCTTTCCAGCAGCCTCGTCTGAGCTGCGCTCTGCTGCACATGCTCAGACCTCCTTAAATTACATCACTTTTCATGAAGTAGGAAGCCTTTTAGTGTACTCATCTGGCTCAGAGTCCTCAAGAAAGTGCTGAGTAGGTGCAAGGACCGTTATTTTGTGGTGCTGTGATAGATCTTGGAGGACCTTTCCTAGGCAAATCCATGCTGAGGTTTCAAGTGAAATAGTGTGGGCCTTAAGCGGTAGATTCCTGCTTCCCACCTTTACGCTGCTCATGAAGGTAGTGACATGGGCTGCCTAGCCCCTCCTGGTGTACCTGAGTATTCAGATGTCAAAAAAACCCCTCTGGATTGCTGTACTCTGTTTAGGAAACTAGGAGCAAGCTCAATTTCTCTTCTGCTTTTCCTTTCCAGTGTCAGTGCAAAAATAAAGGCCATTGAAGCCAAGCTGAAAATGATGGCAGAAAATCCAGATGCAGAATTTCCAGCAACGCCTGTTTATTCTTACTTCAAACCACCAGAAAAGAAAAGGACTACTCCTTATTCCAGAGCTGCCTGGAAATCTAGAAGATGATGCTTATGAGTGGATAATGGTAGCAAGAAACACTGCTTTATATACCTGGAATCTTCCAATGCTTTTGTACTTTGTATAGTGAGAAGGATACTGCCACCTGGGCACAACATCACTGAATACGGCACAGTGTTTTATAACACCTTAGGTGGCCTGCTGAATACTCCTTATTGCCAGTGTAGCTTCACAGCTGAACGCTGACCAGAAAAGTAGGTTCCATTCAAAGCCTGGAATGAACACCCAGACAACCCAGACAATTTTTGTTAGTGTGCGTTCAATAGCGAGACTAGAAACAGTAACCAGTGTATGGAGTAAAGCACATCCAAAAATGTTGTGTTTAACTGATTACTTCTTAAAGTGTTTTTAAACAAAGAGTATTCCACTTTGTGTGTGTTGTTGTTTTTTTGTGTTTTTTTTTTTTTTTAGTGGAGGGAAAGGACTTGGTTACGAGTGACATTCTGTAGTTACCATGGAAAGCTCTTTTTTCATCTCAATACAACTCATTTAAAATAGATTTTGCAACAATTCTAGCAACTGTGCTTTTGCAATATTTATATGCACCGAAGCAAATTAGTTTTGCCTTTTGATTTGCTTGCTTTAAGATCAAGTTGGTCGTGACACAACACAGATATTTTCATTGAGGTTGTAGGTATGTGCCTCTGTGGTGGAATTAGTAAATGTACACACCACTGAGGTCCGTTCTGTGCTGTAAGCTTCTGAGTGCAGCAGTGGCATATCTAGTGTTCCCATTCAGTAATCCCCTTTAGTGGTAGTTCTTCATAAACCAGATGTGACAGCGTGAGAATAACATTGCTGCCTCAAAGACATCTGTCAGGCACATGACCTCAGCATTTGCCCACCAACCAGTCTGACTTCTGTTTTTTGCTGGCTGGTAAAGATGGTTGATTATGTCTGTTGGTGTAATTTGAGTGGCACAAGTGTTTTGGGTGAAATGATGCTACTGTATGCTTGAGGATTATCTGTAGAAGGTGTTAAATTTACAAGTCTAATGGATAGCATTTTGCGTAAATCATCAGATATTCAGCATGTTCTCCTCCCTAAATGTGCTCCGCAAAATTGAAAGGTCTGGGGAAAGACCGTTGTCTGGCAGCGTGTTCTCCTTTGCGTGCATAGCACTGAGGACGGTGCGCGCGACAGGGGTGTTGGAGAACGTGCACTCGGGTACAGCGGATATTGTTTTGATTTTTGCCGATGTCCCGTTTATCGCTTGAGTCCTTTCAGTGGTGAATCTTCACCTCGCCAGTCCCTCTCGAGCTGCTTCACCAAACCGATGAACAACGGTCTCGGAGAAGAGGAGAATATAACATTGAAGCAGCCCCTGGTTCCTCTACGCAGATGTAGCTCTCTTGTCTAGCAAAGTAGGGTTTGTGTTCCTGAAGCGGTACACCTGTCTTACAGGGCCGAGCACGCTTCCTGCTTCCGAACGGAGTATCTAGAATCAATCTGTATGTGTGCATGACGGATGGATTGTTAAAAGCCTGAATTGTTTAAAAAGTAGGTCTCTTGCTGTTGAATATTTACTTTCTCATTTTCTTTGGATACCTGACTAAAGAGAAAAGTTGTGTTCTTTGGAGTTTGTATCCCTGCGAATGACAATTACACCCATTTACATTCCTCTATGAACAGCTTGTGTTTTGTTCTTCTTATGTGGTCTAACATTTGTATTCTTCGGGATTTATATCGGCATTATTTAAAACTCATTCCTATTTTCAATAGGAATTTTAAAAATAACTAAATTCAGGTCAGGCGCATGGTTGTGTTCCCTTCAGAAACATACTTTGATATTTATTTGTATTTAAATACAATTTGTTGACATTCTTACAGCTCTAAATAAATATTTAAAATGCATTTTTTTCCTCCAGGAAAGTGAGGGTGATGAGCCGGACGTGAGGGGTGGTAAACGCTCGGCCTGAGCCGAGGTCCGCTGATACAAATCTGCGTACAATAGCGGTAGTCTTTTGCACTGCCGCAGTCGCTAACAGAAGTGCCTTGTGTATCTTTTGGCCAGACTCAGACCTGGGGGAGGCTTATTGCAGGTCCGTGTTTGTGTCCGTCATTCCCGTTGCCGCCAGCCTGGCAGGGGGGCGTGCCGCTCGCGCTTCCCAGGAGCGCTGTGGTCTGGAAGGCCCCGCGCCCCTTCGGCAGCGGGCTGGCGTGAGCGTAGCAAAACCAAGGAGTTTCTAACCCTGGATCTGGGAGGAGGTAAATACTCGGTAATGCTCTTCATGAGCGTCGGCACTGGGGCTTTACGTATCGACCATCATAAAATGTCTTTGAAAAGCACCTGGAAACATCGCGTCCCTACACCTTTCGTGGAGGACGTGGCGTGCTCAGGAGCTGTAAGTATGGAGGTTTGCAGGCTGGTCGGGTGAGGGAGACCCGGGCTTTGCCCTCGGCTCTCGCTCTCGCGAGGGCCAGGCTGGTGGCTGCTCCTTGCCCTGGCTCGGTGCTCCTGTCCCGTCAGGGGTTTCTCCTGTACCGCTGTTTCCAGGGAAGGCAAGGTGGGGACGCCGAGGACAGCGGTCGTGGTGTCCACGGTTCGCTTGTTTTTCTCAGTCTGTGAACAATCTTTGTGCTTATGGTGAGACTCACTCCCCTAGGACAAATACAAATTGTGCTTTTCATCATGGGCGCGGATGAAATACCTGCCCCAACATCGGAGGCTTCCGCTGCTGCGCGCGGAGATGCAGCCTGCTCGCAGCTCCTCGCGCGCCGGCTCGGGCGGGAGGGGGGCAAGAGCCGGGACG